CCTTCCCCCCCCCCCCTCCCCCCCTCCCCCGTCCCCTCACCCTTTTTTTCCCTTCCCCGCGTCCCCCCCCCCCCATTTTTTCCCCCCCCCCCCCCCCCCCCCCCCAACCATCGTGCTTGCCAACTTCCTCCTGATTTGCTCCCTCCCTTGCTATGTTTCCTCATGCACCTGTCCTTCCTTTCACTGACCCTCCTCTGGGCCCTTTCTCACAATGAGGGTTCAGGACAGGAACACAATAGGAGTGTTAAACAAGTGATATCTGTACCTGCTCACACACCATCTCCCTCGTCTCCATCCAGGACCCTGAACAGAGCTTCACCTGCATCTCCTCCTCCTAGTCTACTGCATTTGGTCCTCCCGATATGGTCTTCCCTACATCGGTGAGACCGTTTCACTGAGCATATTCGCCTGTCCCGCAATGGCCAGCCTAACCTCCCGGTCGCCGCTCATTTCAACTGCGCCAACCACCACCACCAAACCCCGCCACTGCCAATCCCCTCTGACATGTCAGTCCTCGGCCTGCTCCAGTGTTGCAGTGATTCAGAATGCAAATATGAGGAACAACACACCTTGTTTTCCGCCTGGGCACTGTACAGCCTGGAGGACTCATTGAGTTCTCTAATTTCAAATAACCTTTCCATCCATCCTTCTTCCCAGGTTCCCTTTCCAGCCCCACCTCCTCCCTTCCATTCCACCTACTGACCCTCCCTCCCAGCTATCAACTGGATTCATCCCTCCCGTCGACCAACCAGGTCATACCTACTACCAGTGTCCACCATTCCGTAACCCCTTTCCTCTCCTTTATCTATAGCTCTCCCCGTCCCCACATTCAGTCCTGAAGCAGTGTAAAACCCAAAGTGTTGACTTCTCCTTTCCTCCAAGTATTGCCTGGCTTGCTGTTCTTTCAGCCTCCTGTTAGTCTATATTTGTACTGAACTGTGTATACTTTTTACAGAAACATGAGAATTGTGGATACAGGCTCTTTACTTTTTACACACTGTGAAATTGGTCCTCGATAAGTTGTGTAGCAAAGTAAGGGCGCAGATTGCCCGTAGCAGATTGTAAGAAAGCAATGATCCCAGAACAGTTCTAAGGCAACGTTACCAATATGCACTTAAATCTGTAAAAGCTGTGCTCTATATTCTGCAACACTGGATTGATTAATAGTGTAGCACCAGACTACCTGCATTCCAGCAAACAGGTTACAGCAAATACAAGCAATTGTTAGTTGGTGGATAATGCATCTATGCAGATGTTCAATAAAAATACTGGAACTTTCAGGTCCTACGGGACAGCATTCACTTAAGGGGAACTGAGAAATAATTGAAATTGCAAGCAGATCATTTTGAGCAACTTGAATTTGGACTAGTTGATTGTTTGCAGATTACTGTTTCTCCTTTATTTTGATTTCTGGAATGTCTAGCTCATAAATATTCAATGTGTTGTTTTCTGTTTGCATTATAGATGCCAGTTTGCTCTTATTACCTCCGAGGGATCTGCAATAATAACAACTGCCCTTACAGCCACGTGTATGTGTCTAGGAAGGCTGAAGTTTGCCGTGATTTCCTGAAAGGATACTGCCCATTGGGAGCAAAGGTATATTAATAGGAGGGAAAGTTTATTATCAGTACTGTTTTGTTATTAATACGTTTGCTTTGTGTTTGTTTAAAGGAGAATGTGTTTCAAAATTTGCTGTTACTACTCTCGAGTCTATTTTGCATGAATGATAAATTTAGTATTCATTAGATTGAGGGATGTTAATGTTGCCAGCACTGTCTTATTTTAGACACATCAAGCTTCATACATAGCAATATTGGATACTAATTAAAGCTCCCTAGCTTTACGCATCAGGCTGAAACTTACTTGGAGCAAAATTTTTTTATACTAGCATACTCAAAGGGAGCTCCGATCAGTGTCTGCTTGATTCAGATCTAGGTACTAAAGATGAAAGGGCAATGTGCTTAACCCATTGTACTGTTCATCTTCCTTTGTTCTTCAGCAGTTATTTAACCTTCGTTTCTGTTGAAATGACTGGTACAGATTGGTGATTTAATACCCTATGAAACACAATGACTCTAGTTCCATCCTCCATGGAATACAGGTGGTACTGAGTACCTTGATTATGATGTAGGGTTAACGTTGTAGAGCTGCTGTTGAAATATCTTGTCTAGATGTTAGTGGAAATTCACAGGAGTGTAAATTTTGGATGATTTTGTTGCGATAAAATGTGTTTTATTCTGTTGTGTTTTTGGTATTATGGCCGTCAGTTACCACTTCCCTCTTCCTACGATCCCCGTCCCCATGCACCCCAACTTTAAATTTTCCTAATAAATGCAGATGTCTGGGAGAGACAATTGTGAGGAGAATACAGCTCAGTCCTACATGATCAAACCACTGCTTAGGTGTACTGGCATTCTAACTTATATTTCTTTGCTTATTCCTTTTCTGAATGAAGAGTGCTGGAGGGCATGCCAAGAGTAGCATCAGGCATACCAAAATATGAGGTATCAGCCTGGTGAGTCTACAACAGAGGCCTGTTTATGTGCCAAACAGCATATGCAACAAGTTGTAGACAGGATTAAGTGATTCCATGTGGTTCTTGGATGCTGACACATGTCTGATGCCATTTTCTGTGGACATGGGTGTGGGTGTGTGTCCAGTATCCAGGGAGCACGTCCTGAGATATTAGCGCCTGGCGTCCGGTGTCCGACATGGAGATCCTTTGGAGTATGCAGTGAGTTGAAGTCACCAGGTATGATTTCCAAATCAAGAATTCTCAGCAATATGTTTGCTTGGCAGGTTTGGTAAGATAAGATGAATATTAATGAGATAGGCAGTTAATAAGGTTGTGAATAAGCAATGAGCCTCCTTAATAGGCATCTCATTGTTGCCTAGAAAGAATGTCACCTCAATGTCTGATAGTTGCGTAAAAAATGCAGCAAGTTGCTCTTGATGTTGAGACTGACCATGTTAGACTAGTTGCATGATTTTGCCACACTTCTTACTATAGCCCACTTTGATCAGAGCTTTATCAGATTCTGCCCCTTTCAATGATGAGATTTATACTCCTGAAACAAGTCTTTCATTCTCCAACCCAAAGATAAATAGTTAAAGCTGCACAGTCTCATTTTTGAACCTAAATTACTTGGAAATCTTTATAATGTTCACAATCTTTATAATCGACAGCTGCAACATTGTGTCCTGCACTCTGTTCTGTTACCCTGATGCCCTCACATAGTACGATCTGCCTGTAAAGCGTGTAAGACAACACTTTTCACTGTACCTCGTGACAGTAATAAATCAAGTCAAAATGAATAATGTTTACAATTTTTCATTCCTGTCTCCTTTTTATTCCCTCCTAATCAAATTTATTTGCCTTTATATTTCTCATTAAGTATTTGATTTGAATCTAATTCACCCTTTTTCTTTCTTTACAATCCTTTTTGTCTGTCTACCTATCTCTGTCTCGATCAAAAATTTAATTGGTTAAAGAGAGATTATTGGGCTTACTGTTCATCTGTATTTACATTCTGGGCCAATGTGTATGAGGGCCATAGCAGAGGACCTGTTGATGCCTTGGCTCTTTAAACTTTTTTTGTCTGAAGATTTGTGCTTTCCTAATAACTTTTTGCATTCTGTTTTGAGTTATGATTCATTGGCAGGTTCATCTTTGGATGTAAAGTGCTTTGGGACATTCCGAGATCTTGAAACATACAACAGAAGTACAAGATTTTTCTTTCCTCACCACTGGAATAGTTACAGAGGGGAAAGTTGCTTATTTTGAAATCTGCGTTTAAAGATCTGTGACAATCGACTTGATATATTACCATCTTGCACTTTGGAATACAAATGCTGACTACTATTTTTAATAATTGTGCAGTTAAATAGGAGGTGGTGAAAAAATAATAACTTGATAGACACCCCACACCCCTAGAGAATTAAAACTAGTTTATGAATATATATCCAGAAATGCTGATCATTCATGAGTTTTCTGAAGGAGCCAAAACACTACTTTAGGCCTTCAGCAGGTTAAATAATATTCTCTAAATAATGCCAAAAGTGCTGACTTCAGTTACAAGCATGGTGCTAAACTGCTGTTAAGACACCCCAGAGAATTATCAGAATTCTCTGTATCAAATGAAAAGTTATTAATTGTATGCCATTTTTAATTGTATACTATTGTTATCCCCTTTAGTCATAGGAGAGATCCCAGAGGACTGGAGAATAGCCAGCATTGTTTCTTTGTTAAAGAAGGCCAACAGGGATAATCCGGGAATTTACAAGCCAGTGAGCCTTATGTCAGTCGTGGAGAAATTATTAGAGAAGATTCTTATGGATAGAATTTACTCACATTTGGAAAAATTGACTTATTAGCAATAGGCAGCATGACTTTGTGTGGGAAAGTTTGTATCTAACAAACTTGATTGAGTTTTTTTGAGGAAGTGACAAAGTTGATTGAGGAAGGCAGGGTGGCAGATATTGACTATACGGACATTAGCAAGGCCTTTGACAAAGTGCCTTGTGGCAGGCTGATTCAAAGGTGCAGTCACATGGGAACCACAGTGAGCTGGTAGGATGGAAACAGAGCTGGCCTAGTTATAGAAGGTCAGAAATCACACAACACCATGTTATAGTCCAACAGGTTTATTTGGAAACACAAGCTTTCAGGGTCTTACTCCTTCTTCAGGTGTTAGTGAGAGAGGTAGTATCAGACACAGAATTTATAAGTAAAAGATCAAAGGGCTATACTACTGATGAGGATGTACTAACAAACCTAAGATGTTGTTAAATCTTTATTCAGTTAGAAGGTTTTAACTGATTAATATGTATATGTAAATCCCTGAATTCCTTTGAAGTCACTATCTTAAGAGAACTAAAGGTTTATCTGTGCACACAAGAGGTGACATTTTAGTTCAGACAATGCATGTACAGTGTGAGGCCTTTTTTAGAATCTGTTTGTGTTTTGGTTTGGAGTCAGACAGGTTTTATTTCTAAAGTAGGAATTTATCTGCAAGTACAAATTCACTCATAGATTCACGTGTGTATGTGTGTGTGTAAGAGTATGTGTGAGAGTGTACAGTGTGGTTAGGTCACCTGGAGTGCGTCATGAACCCAAGATCCCATTTGAGGCAATCCTCATGGGTACTGAGCTTGGCTATTAATCTCTGCTCGGCAACTTTGAGTTGTTGTGTATCCCGAAGTCTGTCTTGGTGAACGTTTATCTGAAGATCCGAGGCTGATTGTCCTTGACCGTTGAAGTGTTCCCCCACTCGGAGAGAACATCCCTGTTTGGCAATTGTTGTGCGGTGTCCATTCATCTGTTATCATAGTTTCTTCCTTGTTTTTGCCAATATACTGTGCCTTGGGGAATTCTTGCCTGCAGCGTACGAGATGGACAACGTCAGCCGAATCACGAAAGTAACTGCCGTGCACGTGGTGGTTGGTGTTCTATGTTGAAGATCTGACATGTCTTGCGGAGATTGCCATAACAGGGTTGTATAATGTTGTGGTCGATATTGTCCTGAAGGCTGGATAGTTTGCTGCTAACAATGGTTTAAGGTTTGGTGGTTGTTTAAAGGCAAGAAGTGGAGGTGTGGGAAAGATTTTGACGAGGTGCTCATCGTCATCGATAATGTGTTGAAGGCTGCGAAGAACATGGCACAGTTTCTCCACTCCCAGGAAGTACTGGGCGACAAAGGGTACCCTATCGGATGTATCCTGTGTCTGTCTTCTGAGGAGGTCATTATGGTTTTTTCCAAGGCATATTGGAACTCATGATTGATGAGTTGAGCATCATATCCTGTTCTTATGAGGGTGGCCTTCAACACCTTCAGGTGTCTGTCTCATTCCTCCTCATCCGAGCAGATTCTATGTATACGTAGGGCTTGTCCATAGGGGATGGCTTGGGAGGTTTTTGTTGGGAGCTAGAGAAATACAGCATCGTGAGGTTATCTGTAGGCTTGTGGTAGAGTGAGGTATTGAGGTGTGCATTCCTGATGAAGATGCGTGTGTCCAAGAATGAATATGATTCTAAAGAGTAGTCCATGGTAAGTCTGATGGTGGGATGAACCTTGTTGATATTGCTATGTAGTTATTTCAGTGATTCCTCGCCGTGAATCCAAAAGAAGAAAATGTCTTCAACGTATTTGATGTATAGTGTTGGTTGTAGCTGGACGTCCCATCATATCAGGCAATGGGACCCTGTGTGAGAACCTCTCTGGCTATGTCGAGAGCATTTGAATCCCATTGTACAGGGAACCCCCCAGCTTCTGTCGTGACGCTACAGATTTCTTGCAGAAACTCAACACCCACAGACCAATTGATCCAGGAACATTCTTCGTCACAATGGACATTTTGGCACTCTACACCAGCATCCCCTACGATGACGGCATCGCCACAATAGCCTCAGTACTCAATACCATCAACTGCCAATCTCCAGACACCATCCTACAATTCATCCGTTTCATCTTTGACCACAACTTCTTCACTTTCGACAACCAGTTCTTCATCCAGACACACGGAACAGCCATGGGGACCAGATTTGCTCCCCAATATGCCAACATTTTCATGCACAGGTTCGAACAAGACTTCTTTGC